GCCCGAAAAATATTCAGGTTTATTGGTTCATATTGCTTTAGAATGCCTGGTAGTACCAAGGAGGAGTGCAAATTTATTACTTTATTAGTTTAAAATTTTTTTTCAATTTTAAAATTCATCGTGACTTCTCATACGCAAGTGCTTCGATTGTGTCTAATTGACAAAAAGTGCGTTTAAAATTAATATCAGACAATTATTATCTTTTTAATGGTACAACTTGCTTAAAGGTAGTTTGTGAATTTAAGCAATCCACGAATTTTTTTAGGTTAATTCACTTCAGAATTTCATAATTGACAATTCCGTAATTGTGGATGGTTCAATTAAGTCTGAATGGATTGAAAAAGTCCATGAAGTTTGCTGCATTATTACACATCAAAAGTTAGGATTCGACTTAATCCTTTAAATCGTGAAAGCTTGGATTTCGACTAAATGGCAAAAAGCGCGTTTAAATGAACGAAAATTCGAAAAATGTGGAAGTTTATGTTGGTTGATTTGGAACAACTGGCACGGATTTACGCAGTTCAATTTTGTCTAATTGGAAAAAAATGGGTTTAAAATTAATAACAGAATTTGACAATTATTCTCTTTTTAATGGTACAGCTTGCTTAAGCTTGAACTTTATATAAATGGAAAAAATACTTTAAGATTTTTAAAAAATTCGCAAAAATATGCAAGTTTACGGGTCGATTTGGAACAACTGGGATGGTTTTAAAAAATCCATGAAGTTTGCTACATTATTACACTGCAAAATTTAAAATTCGATTTAATGCTTTAATCTTGAGAGCTTGAATTTTGTATAAATGGCAAAAATTACATTAAGATTTTTTTTAAATTCGGAAAAATATGCAAGTTTACGGGTCGATTTGGAACAACTGGGATGGTTTTAAAAAGTCCATGAAGTTTACTACATTATTACACTTCAAAATTTAAAATTCGACTTAATCCTTTAGTCGTGAGAGCTTGAATTTTGTAAAAATGGCAAAAATTACATTAAGATTTTTTTTAAATTCGAAAAAATATGCAAGTTTACGGGTCGATTTGGAACAACTGGGATGGTTTTAAAAAATCCATGAAGTTTGCTAAATTGTTATACTTCAAAATTTAAGATTCGACTTAATGCTTTAATCTTGAGAGCTTGAACTTTCTATAAATGTAAAAAGAATTTGTCGTTGTCTGTATTTCTGACATAGTTAATCTTTAAATTAAATTTGTTTATCAACGTATACATGTATAATCGGATAATCTAATATCACTTTTGCAATTTTTTAGATTAAGCAAGTCAGAAAAAAAAATCTACCAGTCGAAACGATTAATTAATCGCCAAGTTCCTAGTAAAACTTATGTAAACATTTTTCGACATCTGTCGGCACTTATCGAGAAAACAATTTGGTCATAATTTTCAATTAATCTCCCTCTACGAGGCCTAAGCAGGTGGAAGGGGTTGCCGAATTTCGGGCCGGCACGTGTCCAGGTAGGGCACGCGCGAAGTCCCCTAAGCCCCAGCCGGCGACGCCGATTTCAAGCCCGTCATCGAGCAGGCGTTAAGCCCCGGTAGCTTGGTCGACGTTCCCCGTCACGCCCTCTGCGCCTCCGTATTTAATTATGCAGTGTCCTCCGGTGCGACACTCCTAATTTCCTACTTGGAAGTCTTTTTTTCTACAAGTTGTTGACCCTCGAGCTAATCTGAATTACACTCGTGCATATTTAAAGTGTTTCAAGTTTCGCGACTATTTCTCAAAAAGCAAGCATAAATTATTATTAGGTATAAATTATTTTCACGAGTGTAGGCATAGTGAGAAAATGTTTTGTGACCAATTTTATTTTCATGATTAAATTCTTTCATCCATAAATTTTTGAATACAGATAAATATAGCACAACCAATAATGAACTAAGTCAACAACCTCTTCTCACCTAAAAGTTCACCCTAAAATCGTAACAAAATAAATTTTTATAATTATCCTCTAGTAACGTGAAATTATTACTAAATGTAAACTTTTAAACAGTTTCATGACTATTTAAAATTTAACAATGCAAAATTTCTCACAAAGTAAGTTAAGTAGAGATTATGGCTATTATTTTTTCTTTTTAAAAACAGTACGAAACTAAAATATTGGCTACTAGTTTGAACTATCTACATATTAACATTAACACTCTGCGATTTATTAGTAAAAGTTATTTTAATTTTAATCCTTCTATAATGACGTGAACGATAATGAAATAATAAAAAAAACCAGGTGAAACCTCGAATTTAAAATGTCCCGAGCCAGTTAAATTATATCATAGTTTTAAAACCAATTAACATACCTATTTTATAACACACGTCAATGCATTTAATACGAGTTATCTCTGGTTAATTGTCTATAAAAAAAATAAATATCTCGAGCCAATTAAGTAAAAGAACTGAAGTGTGTAAAAACTGCAAAATTTTTATGACAAATGGAATTTAAAATAAAAAAGTTCAAATACACTTCACGCTACTAAAACATTAAAAAAATCCTTAAGCGTAAACTTTTAAAAGATTGTTAACTCACAAAACTTGGTGCAGTTTTCTATAAAATATTTTGTGTATTTGTTTTATTGCTTGTAGACGAAATACACACTGGGATGTTCAAATTTTATCGCTTATCTGAGAAATTTTCAAAAATCGACTGGCACCACAGGCAATACAATTTTTTTCAAACAACTTCTATATGGATCCAAGCTGTGTTAAAACTCAATTTTAAAGAATAAGAAGGTATTTTAAGAAAATTCACGAACAATAATCTATGTTATGACATTTGCCTACTAAATATTACTGTCGCCAAACAGATTTGTCGAATTTATTTAACAATAATCCTGTACTACATATGTATACATAAATTGAACCGGTTGGACTATTTTAGATGTATTTTGTTACAAATTTGTACCTACAAGATAAATATATTGGCTTTAAAATTGAACAGGTGGACAAATTGATGCAATAAAATATTTAACTGTTTTTTTTTTCTTGATTTGCTCTATTAATTTTTTTGTCAAGGAGAACATGTCAGGTATTTTTTTTTTTGTGCGTCAGTTAATCTTATGGTTCACCTATAAGTATAAGTAGCTCTATAAATCAATTATAAAAATTATTGATTTTTTTTTCTTCATACTGTTTATTTTTAATTAATATGTAAGTATAAAGTAAACTGATAGTTTTGGTTCAAAATTAGTAAGTAGAGAATACGTACTGGACACCGCCGTTTTAATTTTTATTTGAAAAAGATATTTATAATAAACAGGAGAATTCGCTACTGAGAACGGCATGAAGGAAAACGCGCATGTCAGGCCAAAAATAGCGAGCATAAGCGGACCAGGTTAACCGAAACACACGCTGTTCAGGGCACAAAGGAAATAACAATTTTTATGACAGTCCCATATAAATTGGATGAAGATTAAGTAGATTTTTTATGCTCATTTAACGATATTCCGTTACATTTTATTAATAAAAACTATAAAAAACTATAAATATATTTAAAACTAATTTTGTACTTACACGAAAAATACAGTGGTTTTAAAACGGAACCGGTGGGCAGATTGATACAATAAAATACTTAACTTTTTAAAAATTTGATTTGCAAAAAGAATATTTTGTTAAGGAGAACACGTCGGATTTTTCCATCAGTGATATTACAGTTCTATAAATTAATTATAAAAAATTAACATTTTTTCAAAATATTTGTTTTGCTAATGAAAATGTATCTTGAATAATATCTAATGAAAACATTATGTAACTGTCAGTTTTTGGTCAAAATTTGTACAAAAGTAAAGAGTTTATTTATATGAACTGGAAATCGTGTTTTTATCTTTTGTGTAATATATGTTTATTAAATTAAACCGACAACTTCACTACTGAAGTTGATAAGAAGCCCAAACGCGTGTGATAGGCGAAAAACAGCGAGAACAGGCGGACCAGTATAGTCTGGAATGGGCTAAATACATGTGCATTGTACAAACCATAAAAAAAATCTACTCTTATGAAAGTTCTATGAAAATTGATATATTCTCACAATAAATAAATAAAAAACTACAAAAACTGAATGAAAAAAAAAAGAAAGAAAGATTGGATATATCTTTGCTGTGAAAATTTTCCGAAAGTTTTGAACAAGAGAATTCTTCTTGTAAGAGATTTTCCTCTGTAATGGAGCTTGCACAAATGTCAAGTTCTAAAGTCCAAAGATCACGATAAATTTACTACTGAAGATGATAAGAAGCCGAAACGCGAAGAATAGGAGAAAAACAGCGAGTATAGGCGGACTTGTTTAGTCTGGAACGGGAGAAATACATGTTCATTGTACAAACCATAAAAAAATCTACTTTTATGAATGTTCTATGAAAATTGATATATTTTCACACAAATTTTTTTTAAAAAACTACAAAAACTAGATGAAAGTAATAACGATTCGATTTATTTTTGCAATACAAATTACCGAAAGTTTTGAACAAGAGAATTATTCTTGTAAGAGGTTTTTCTCTGTAATGGAGCTTGCACAGATGTCAAGTTTGCAAGTTGTAAGATCACGATAAATTCACGACTGAAGATGATAAGAAGCCGAAACGCGTACAATAGGCGAAAAACAGCGAGCATAGGCGGACCTGTTTAGTCTGAAATGGCCGAAATACATGTTCATTGTACAAGCCAAAAAATGAATTCTTATGACAGGAATGTTCTATGTTTTATGAAACCTGGTTGAAGTTAAGTTGTTGTGCTATGAGTTGTATATGTGAAATGGGATTATGTTGAATGCTCGATAAGATTTTCATCGGGCAGAGATTTAAATTGGAAAAAAGAGTGTTTGGGGGAAAAAATCGACGAGCATGTCATACTAGTGTGTTGTCAAACACGAAAACGTCGATAAGGAGGGAAAGATTGTAATTAATTCACCGACGACTGCACGGATTGATAAGAACGGCGAGCACCTGTAGATAAACGGATCGATGCGAATTTTTTTTTTCTGGGAGAAGTGAAAAAAAGACTTACCGGGTGGCCCGATCCCTTCATCGTCCGAAGTCTCGCTGTTGCTCGAGTGCAAGAAGTGTCTGTGGATGTTGTAAGTCGGTTTGACGGAAAAGTCGAGAGGCTGGGGCTGGGGGTCCCGGTAGCTCGGCGTCAGAATCATCGGCATTTTTTCTTCGCCGTTGTTGTTGTTCAGCCACAAGGACCTTGTCTCGTTCCCTGGCACAGCCACTTTGCTGATGAGTGAGATCACGGTTCAAGCCCTGACAGCAACACATACAGTCTCCCTGCACACTACGCTCTCCTACTCCGGCCGAGACGTCCCCCGACCCCACCACGGCGACCGCGGGGGAGAGGGAGTCAGAGCTGAGTGGGGGTTTCCTCTCCGCCAATCGCACCAGCCCTTACATAAATATGCCCCTATAATAAGACTCGATTGAATAAATGGAATTTATTTCTTTTTCTACTCCCTCCGCCGTTCCTCGGTAATTAGCCCACGCCGCATCCCCATCCCCCTTTCGCTTTAGCATAGCCCGCGGCTCCTACTAGAATGACACGCGGTGTCTATGGCACCCAGTCCTATGTCCTATAGACATCTTTCCGTCCGTCACTATTCCGGTCCGTTCACTTTTTTCCCAAAAGCCTGATTATTCACAAAAAACCCAATATTTCAGCACATTATGACTGTGACTGATGGCGTGAAGGCCGTACAGACTTTTTACGCAATTGTTTTCTTTTCCCTAAGAGTTACGACCAAGTGATCTTTTATTTCTTCTTTTTTATTGATTTTCACATCTGTAAAACAATTACAACCGTAAAAATCTTCTAAGAATATAATTGACATGAAAAACATATGAAATGAAATCACCCATAAAAAACACAAAATATGAAAATAGAAAAAGGAAAAAACATAGAATTTATAATTTGTTGAAGTCGTGAGGAGCGGTCAAGAAGAGTTTAAAAAACACCTTTTTCTAATTTTTTTTGCAGACGTTTTGATCTTTATTCGCGTCATCTTCAGGGCATAAAGCGTGCCTCACAATCACGACACTTTCATACGAAACCAATATGACACCACAACAGTCGCACCACACTTTAAGATTAAGTTCAATGTAGGAAGGTCTTATCAATTTTAAAAAAAGGGACTTTGATAACGAGTGGAGCAACCTGGATAAGTTTTCAATATTCTTACATTCGGCCAGTCAGACTTTATACGTGATTGCATTCTTTTTCCTAACACTTACGACCAAGTTATCTTTTTTTTCTCCCTTTTTCATTCATTTCCTCATCTGTAAAACAATTACAACCATAAAAATCTTCTAAGAATAAAATTGACATGAAAAACATGCTAGGAGAAATAACCCATAAAAAACGGAAAATATGAAACTAGAAAAAGGAAAAACATTTGTTGAATGCCCTGAAGATGGCCCGAATAAAGGTCGAAACATCGGTAAAAAATGAAAAAGGTGTTATTCTAAGCTACCTCTTCTTGACCTCTCCTCACGACTTTAACAAATTATGAAACAACAGTCATTCTTTTTTCATACGTTCTGTTTTTTATTGTGTGGTGTGACTGTTGTGGTGTCATATTGGTTTCGTATGAAAGTGTCGTGATTGTGAGGCACACTTTATGCCCTGAAGATGACGCGAATAAAGATCAAAAGGAATGCAAAAAAGGGAGAAAAAGTTTTTTTTTTTTAACTACCTCTTCTTGACCGCTCCTCGCGACTTCAACAAATTATAAATTCAATTTTTTATTTTTTTTTCTATTTTCGTATTTTGTGTTTTTTATAGGTGATTTCTCTTCACATGTTTTTTAAGTCAACTTTATTCGTACAAGATTTTTAAGGTTGTAATTGTTTTTCAGATGAGCAAATCAATAAAAAAGGGAGAAATAAAAGATCACTTGGTCGTAAGTGTTAGAGAAAAAGAATGCAATTACATACAAAGTCTGTATGGCCTATGGTCAATGTTTATTTGACTTTAAATTTATCTATTTTTGACCCCTAAGAGAAAAGTAGCTTTTCAATGACTTATGTACCATAAAAATATCTGATTTCTGTAAGAAATTATTTTTGTTTGTTAAATGGCAATAATAGTCCGATTTTAATGTTTGATGCACTTGTAAAACGCACTTGACAATGTTTTGTCAAAACGAATTATGAACCATGAAAATTCCTTGGTACTGAAAAAAATGTTGTAGAACTTGCATTAGGAATGTCAGTCACGCAGATGGTCGTCGAAAAATTTAGGGGTCAAAAATTCGAAAAATTTAAATTCAAACAAACATTTATATTTAGGAGTCTCTTGAGGTGCTAAAACGAAATTTCATATTAGTTTTAGGAAAAAATTCTGACCTAGTTTAATTCAAAAATATTTGCTTTTCAAAATTTTCTTGATTATTGATAAAATTTGATAGCTTTAAATATATTTTTATTGCAATCTAAATTAAAAATGTTTTAAAATTATATATTCACATAGTTGATTTGAATAATTAGAACGGCGAAATAGAAATATTAAAATTTCAACTTTCAAAAAAGTTTTTTGGCGAATCCAGTATCTATTCACAAAATTGGTGGATACATGTGCCATATTTTGAGTGACCAAAAAAAAATATCGTCCAAATCCGAGACACCTGGTCGTCCCCTTGTTAGTCCTAACATTGTCAAGAACTGTAGCACTAATGGGAGTGAGTCTATCATCAACAAAATTTGAAACAATCTGTTAAAAATTTAATTATATCAATGTATAGATGTTTTTAAGATTTTCCTTCCTGTAGCCCGGAGTTAGTAAATAGTCCGAAAGCTTGGCATATTGAATTTGTTTTTGTTTTTTTATCCAGACCATCAAAAACTGATAATTCTTGTCGTTAAAGACGTAAAGTTCTCCCTAAGCTTTAGAAATTAAAGGTTTGGATTTTCTTCTTGGACAGAGAAAACGAACAAATCTCTTTAAAGTCCCTTCCTCCATTCCTTCTCCTCTCACTTAGTATTCTCGACCGGCTTCGCTTTTTGCAGAAATATGGTGGATTGTACAGGAAAACGGAAACAATTCTATCGATTATGACCTGAAAAAAAAGAACCAATCTTAACATCTCTTAAAAATCCAACATAATACTTTACCTATTATCATTTAATAGACCAAAACCAAAAATATATATTTTGCTTAATTACGATTTGACCACATGCCTTACAAGAGGGAAATTAATGGGTTAGATCGTATTTTCAAGCAGACGAAATAAGCCAGATTGTAATTTTACGACCTTTTCCGAACAATCAATTTACAATTAATTAAATTGCTTTCTTAATCCGGGAAAACGTCAGTTTATGAAAAAATCACATTTCTTTAAAGCTTTTCATAATAGTTTACCTATTATGATTATAATCAACTAATACTAATTATTTTATACGGTTGCTTTCTTATTTGATGTAAGAATAAATCCTTCATTTCTTCTGAAAGCCATAAAACTTTCCTCTGGAACTTTTGAAATTAAAGGGTTGGATTTTGCTTTAGAACAGGGAGTAGAAAATTTATCTTAAACCTTCATCATAATCGTTTACCAAAAATATTTTTCCACGTTGCAATGTATCACATGCCTTTGTTAACAACCCTTTTTTTTTATTTTAACTGATTTTATTACCCCCTAGATGCTTTTCAGCAAATTGTGACCGAAGATTTATGTGAAAGCCAAAAAATTCGCAGAAATTAAAGAATTCGACAGTTTTCTTAATCGAGAACAACACGCAGTACGAACAAATCACAAAATGTGTTAAAGTTTATTATTTATTACTTTTTCACGACGACTCGCAACAGCGAGTTCATATACGGGGTGCCGGTGTTATTGAAAAAAAGCCCATTTGTATATCGAGAATACAGGGCCGCTGGATTCGAACCCAGGACCCTTCACCTTACAGTGCCTAAACCGTTGCGACCATCGACGCCCCTGTTTATTATTATAATTACCACTATGACGGACCGAAATCTAAACTTTACGACTTGATAAAAACGTTTATGATGAAATACCCTAATCACAAATTGTTGGCGATTTGTTATGTTCTCGTTTGGCTTCGCTTTTTTTCCGAAATTCCCCGAAGTCGACTACAGAATGACTGAAATGCAGCTATTACTTTTTAAATTTAAAGTATGAATGTGTTCTTAATCAGGAACGACAATTTAAGAATAAATAAAATTTCTTCGATGTTCAAGGTCATAGGTGGTCATATTGATAATAAGAAAACTATTATGATTAACTAAAACCTAGATTTTTTGTGGTGTTTACACGATTATTTTTTTATTTGGTATAAGAAAAAAGCTAATTATTCATGTATTGTCGTTAATGCCATTAACCATTAAAGTCCGCGTCGTTAGCTTTTGAATATAAAGAGTTGGATATCTCTCTCGACCTAGAAAACGATCAAATGTTCAAATCTTTCAAGTTTATCAAAATAATTATTCGGAAATTGTGAGATGCGGTCTGGTGTGATGTAGGTTTCAGAAAAATATTTTCTTTATCGTGCCAACGTTTCGATCTTTATTGAGTTCATCTTCAGGGCTCAAAGTGTGGCACTCTCAACACGACACGGAAGAATGGCACAATTACGCACAAAACAAACACTTTGAGCCCTGAAGATGATCTCAATAAAGATCGAAACGTTGGCACGATAAAGAAAATGTTTTTCTGAAACCTACATCACACCAGACCGCATCTCACGATTTCCGAATAATCATCGACTAACGGTCACTAATCACCACACATTTATCAAAATACTTTAACTAATATAATTGTAATAAACCAAAACTAAATAAAAAAATGTTTTCTTTTATTTTTTATGTTTTATTCTTTTCGAACATCGCTTGTTTTCCCCCCTAGACGAAGTTTTTGTACATTGTGGCTTGTAAATACCGCCGACAATAGCGATCTTTTCGAAGGATCTTTAAATTAATTATATTAAGTCAAGTATGTATTTAGAAGTCATAATTGACCGTATTAATTATTTTAATTAATTATACTTTTTTAATCTAAGATCTTGGTTGAGACTAGTATATTAAATCTATGTATAAATATAATAATTACAGAAGTACTTCGCTAACACCTCCCTTGGCCATTTCATAAGTCGTCGGTAATCAAATCTTGATTATACGATATTTGAAAATACGTCGAAAATAGGGACAAATAGGAAAGGTTTGGGTTGAGGTACTTAATGAGCTTGAAGGTTCGAATCCCGCTCATGACACTAGCTTTTTCCTCTTAAACAAAACCTTATATAAAAACCATTATATTTCGTGGTCCGATTGACCAAATAACTTCTTTCAATTT